TACGTAGATGAAATAAATTTATTCTATAGATTGAAATGTTGCTTATATTATTATTTTCGATTACCGTTTTTTCATCAATTTTAAAAATTCTTTGAAACCCTATTGTTTCCAAATTTCTGAAGTTGATGATCGTTTTTTGGATTATTATTCAAACAACTTTCTGGAAGCTTTGCATAACATTGTCTTAATCCCTTACAAATTATCATAATTAAATCGAATACAACTCATCCTGATGAATAAATATTTGATGCCTTAGTAAACTCGCCTTCATAAAATAAGTCACCAAAGCTACACATTACCAACTTTATTTATGCGAATGAATCAATTTAAGATCATCTTTTTTTTTTTATCAATTGCTGTGCTGTTATAACAGATTCCAACATTAAATTACCGTAAATCACTGTATAAAAGATCCAAGATTCGTAGTAGACCCACCATTTATGATACCCTGGTGCGAATCACGGGATCTAATAGCTTTTTTTTTTAAATATCTAGATTATTATTTAGAAATGCAAAATGTGCATGCACTTTAAAATTTCTCTTTATGATATATGCCCTCAACTACGTAGTCGACCGGGTCTATTATAATTTTAAAGTCGGAGGAGTGTAAGAGACCCGGGTCTTCTATGCGGTGATTTATTACATTCACCTTTAGCAGATTTCGAATACCACTTAAATGCCTTTTCTTCATCCTTGGCTGTTCCTATGCCTTTGTTATAACAGAATCCCACCTTAGATTGTCCATTAGAATCTCCACCTTCGGCAGATTTCAAATACCATTCAAATGCTTTTTTTTGATCCTTGTCTGTGCCTATACCATATATGTAGCAGGATCCAAGATACCTTTGTCCTTGAGAATCGCCACTTTCAGCAGACTTAAAATACCATTCAAATGCCTTTTTTTTATCCCTGGCAGTGCCTATGCCTTTTTCATAGCAGTACCCAAGATTACATTGTCCAAGAGAATCGCCACCTTCAGCAGATTTCAAATACCAATCAAATGCCTTTTTTTCATCCTTTGAAGTGCCTATGTCTCTTCTATAGCAGTATCCAAGATGACATTGTCCTCGAGAGTCTCCAGCTTCGGCAGATTTCAAATACCACTCAAATGCCTTTTTTTCATCTTTGACAGTGCCTATGCCTTTTTCATAGCACCATCCAAGACCATCTTGTCCTTGAGGATTGCCGCCTTCAGCAGATTTCAAATACCATTCAAATGCCTTTTTTTCATCCTTGGCTATACCTATGCCTTTTCTATAACAGTATCCAAGATGATATTGTCCTCGAGAATTGCCACCTTTAGCAGATTTCAAATACCACTCAAATGCCTTTTTTTTATCGTTGATAGTGCCTAAACCTTTTTGATAGCACCATCCAAGACTATCTTGTCCTTGAAAATTACCACCTTCAGCGGACTTCAAATACCATTCAAATGCTTTTATTTCATCCTTATCTGTGCCTATACCTCTCTTATAGCAGGATCCAAGGTTCTTTTGTCCTTGAGAATTGCCAGCTTCAGCAGATTTCAAATACCATTCAAACGCTTTTATTTCATCCTTATCTGTGCCTATGCCTTTTTTATAGCAGGATCCAAGATTCTTTTGTCCTTGAGAATTGCCATCTTCAGCAGATTTTAAATACCACTCAAACGCTTTTATTTCATCTTTATCTGTTCCTATGCCTTTTTTATAGCAAGATCCAAGATTACATTGTCCTTGAGAATTGCCACCTTCAGCAGATTTTAAATACCATTCAAATGCCTTTTTTTCATCCTTGGTTGTACCTATGCCATTTTCAAGGCAAGATCCAAGATTATTTTGTCCTTGAGAATTGCCGTCTTCAGCAGATTTCAAATACCATTCAAATGCTTTTTTTTCGTCTTTAGCTATGTCTATACCATTTTCATAACAAGACCCAAGGTTATTTTGTCCTTGAGAATTGCCACCTTCAGCAGATTTTAAATACCATTCAAATGCCTTTTTCCCGTCTTTGGCTATGCCTATGCCATTTTCATAGCACCATCCAAGACTATATTGTCCGCTTGAATTACTACCATAAGCAGATTTCAAATACCACTTAAACGCCTTTTCTTCATCTTTGGTTGTACCTATACTATTTTCATAGCAATGTCCAAGACTATATTGTCCTTGAAAATTTCCACCTTCAGCAGATCTCAAATACCATTCAAATGCCTTTTTTTGATCCTTATCAGTACCTACGCCATTTTCATAGCAATACCCAAGATAATTTTGTCCTCGAGAATTACCACCTTCAGCAGATTTTAAATACCACTCGAATGCCTTTTTTTCATTCTTGATAATGCCCATGCCTTTTTGATAGCACCACCCAAGACTACATTGCCCGCTTGAATTACCACGATCAGCAGATTTCAAATACCATTCAAGTGCCTTTTTTTCATCTTTGGTTGTGCCTATACCATTCTCATAGCAAGCTCCAAGATTATATTGTCCTTGAGAATTTCCACCTTCAGCAGATTTCAAATACCATTCAAACGCTTTTTCTTCATTCTTTTCTGTGCCTATGCCAAATCTGTAACAGGTTCCAAGATTATTTTGTTCTTGAGAATTGTCAGCTTCAACAAATTTCAAATACAACTCAAATGCTTTGTTTTCGTTCTTGAGTGTGCCTATGCCCTCCTCGTAATAAAATTCAATATTTAATTGTTCTTGAAAATTTCCACATTCAACAGAATTAAAATACCATTCAAACGTTCTTTTTTCATCCTTGGAGGCATCTATGCCACTAAAATCATCACCTTCGTCAGATTTCACATACACTTCAACTAATTCTGCTTTATTCTTAGTCATAACTATTTCTTTTTTGTTTGTAAATATGTTTACACTAATTATAGTAGAAGATATAAAATTATGATTGACAAGGTTATCGATATTGTTATTAATATATACTGTGGCTACGGCTTGTGTAACAGGGGGCGATTCTAGTTATGAACAAAGAATTTTAACGAGTTTATTAAAACACACTGATAGTATTTAATGTTGAGGTTGTTATATTACAAAACTAGTTAAGTGATTTGGATTTTTATGCCTTAAGTAAAATTTTAAAATTTAGTCAGTAGTAAAACTGTATAAAAATATATTTGATAATATATACGACGTTAAATACATTGCTGTGCTTTTATACTGTTATATTGTTTGATGATGATCATTACTAATTTAATTAAGAAAGTAACCCGGAGCAAATTTATTTAGTAAGGCCATTTACTATAAATAGACCGATTAAAAATGATCATGCACAAAACTCGGTCTACAGATCATTTTCCGCCACACTCTGGACTACAAGGATTGCATAATAATATGCAGCTGCGCACTATTGTGCATAATAGTCAAATTGAATAATGACAAATTTTCGTTAATAAAAAAAAAAACTGGAAATGTTAATATTATTTGCAAACCATTCATTTTCTAGAATACCACTAGAGATAAGTATACAATATTGGGCATATGATTACAGTAGCGATAGAAAAGAAAATTCTTTCATCGGAGTTAATGTCATGTGATTCTAAGCAAGCACGCGCCTAAAAATTCTGTGGAGGTTTGTGATGCAGGAAAATTTTTTTAAGGATCATTAATGTTGGGTTGGCATTTTAGGGGTAGTTTCAAGAACAAGGAACCCAGTGATATCTTCGTGGTCATCACATCACATGATTAAGTGTTCAGCCTAAGTTAGGGTTAGTGCTAGGCAGTGTTGTCACGGGACAGCTGTGGACATAAGTTTGGACATTTGCGGACATTTGTGGACAAATAAATAAGTTAAATTACTCAAAATTTTATTAAGATAATCTATTTTTATTTTTAAGTAAAATATATGTTTAGTACCTAAAAAAATATATAATCATATATTTTTTAAATAATTTTATTAATTATTAAAGCTTAGACAAGCTTTGGACAATCTTGGACATGTGGACATTGTGGACGTGGACAAGGTCAAAAAAGGCTATGGACAGCAAAAATATACAACACTGAAGTAGATGTAAGGCTACTTGAATTTCAATTTTCACAAAAAAGTATTGAAAACTTATAGAGATATCTTAATTTTTCTAAAAAGTAAACACTTATGTTTTTCTTTATTTTCTTTCGCAGAAATTCAATTCTGAAAGATATTTCTTGAAATGAAACCTCTTGTATGGTGATAAAAGTTTGTAGATGTGGTATTCAGCTATTTGTTATTAAAATTTCAGCTTTCTAATGCTAATATTCATAGAGATATTTAGATTTTTCACTTTTCTTCTAGATAAGAAAATTCTTTGATGAAAATCAAGGTGTAGTAGATTGTTTGACCCTTGATTTTTCGAACTCACATAATAACTTCCTTTCAAATTTCACACACTGGTCAAGCATATACACAGAATTTTTTTTGTAAAGTTTAATAGATATTGGCCAAATATTGATGAAGATATTATGATTTTTCATTTATCTTTTTTTCTTCTCTTGTATATTCAAAAATAAAGCATATTAATAAGATTTTTTTTAGTTAAATTAAACATGCAATATGATTATAATAAAATTGGTATGAATAATACTCAAGAATTCACCTGTAAAATTTCATCCAAAATAGACAAATATTCACTAAATAATGCTAAATTTTGATAGAATTACTTTTTTAGGTTCAAAATTTTTTTTGATTAAATAAAATATACAATATGATAATATTAAAGTTAATTCAGGTGATATTTACAAATTTGCTTGTGAAATTTCAAGTCAAACGAACAAATATTCATGAAATGATGCCAAATTTTGATGAAGCATTTTTTCTATAGTCTTTACAGATTATTTTTTATTTAGCTATTTTAATATGTTTTTTGATCATAACATGAAATTTTATTAATAAAATAATAAAAGTCGTCTTATGAAACTAGCAGTTTTTTTGCATGTCTACAATTTTAACTAATAACAAAAGGTATAGTTTTAGATTACACAGACTTTAAAATTTTTTTTGAAATTTTTCCAGAATTTATAATTATGTTAGAATTAAGGCTTGTTACACATGACCAACGTTATTATGTTAGAATTGAAGCTTGCTATGCAAGACTGATAGTTGTTGACAACGTTTTTTCAACTTTTCAAATTGTTGATTTGAAGTTGAAACGTTGTTGCAACCATGACGAATCTTTGATTCACATGTGTGTAAATCCCGCAAAGTGTCATCACAAATCGTTGAACTGCTCCTCATTTCGGGAATTACCTGATATAGACAACACTCAGCGATCGCGTATAATATCTGCTGTGCTGTAGCAAAGACATAAGAAATATAAAAATTTTTTTATTTGAATTCTACAATTAATAAAATTCAAATAAAGAAATTTTGATTGAATTTGAGCAATTGGTTGCCGAGATATCTTCAATCAAAGTTTTGTAAACAATTTTGGTACAGCTTTTATATTATATACATTTTAAAATTTTACTCAAACTTTGATTGAAGATATCTCAGAAACTAATTAAACAAATTTGATGAAAATTTTTTTATTTGAATTCTACAAATCTATAAAATTTGAATAAAAAAAATTTGATTGAATTTGATCGATTAGTTGCTAAGATATCTTCGATCAAAGTTTAAAAATTTTGTAAATAATTATATAATAAAATCGAAAGGATTTATATAAACCATGGTGTGAATAGTAAAAATCTATAGTGTGAATAGTAGTTCTCTATATATATTATTTAATACTAATAATTAAATAATGTGATTAATTAATTAATATTAACAATATTATATATTCTATTATTTAACACCTATTATTAAATAATTTATAATACTATATTAAATAACAATAAATATTTAATTAGTAATTCATAAGAGATAAAAAGAATTACTATAGTAATACTATATATATATGAGGGGATATTAAATATAATGAAAACAATTAATATCTATAATCTGGAGCCAAATTAAAATTTCTTGAATTCTGTCAAGTTAACAGCTTTTGTATTTCTAACAAAACTTGTAAAGGCAATTTTCTCTTTTTAATAGTAGTAAAATTATCAAAATTGGCCTGATGGATTGTGGGATATTCTTATATTTGTCTTTGTAGTTATATGAAATTTCTTTTTACATTTGCAAAGAAAATTTCATATGATCATAAAGACAAAAATAAGAATATTTCATGATCTATCTGGCCAATTTTGATGATTTTATTACTATTAGAAAGAGAAAAATTGCTTCTACAAATTTTGTTAAAAATACAAAAGATATTAACTTGACAGAATTTGAAAAATTTTAATTATGACTCCAAATTATAGAAATTAATTGTTTTTACTATTAAATTGCTTTATTTCTACATATAGAAATTCTGTACATCTCTCGTGAATTATAAATTAATTATTTAATAATTGCTATTAAATAACATATAAATATTATATTAATATATTATTTTTACAAATTAAAATTTGATATATCCTATATTTAAGCTATATATATCAGATAGCAGATATGTGAGGATAATATAGAATATACTATACATAATTTACACATATTCTATACATATTCTACACTTTGTAAGATATATATAAAATATGTATAAATTATATATAGTTAGTATACAGATATATATAAGATATTTTACATGTTATTTAAATACTTTGCACCTAATAAGTGTAGGATAAATATAAGATATATTAATTTCAACCTATATTTATATAAATATTTTTTAATAATTGCAAACTATTATTACAAGTAGATATAGCTTTTTTAATATACTATTTGCAATATAGTACATGGTAATAGAAACTACAAGAACTTCAGTATGATATGAAGTAATATAGAAGTAAAATATTTTCTTACTAGAGCAGTTTAGTATATTTATTAAAAGTATAAAACATAGTTTATTTTAGAACAAAAATATATTTATTTAATTATAATACAATACCTAGATACAAGACTATTTATAGGTATTTGTGTTTACAAAATTCTAATAACTTAGTATATTATAATAAATAAATTCTCTTGTTAAGAAAGAGAGAAAGCTAAAGTTTATATAGCTTTTATAATATATAGACAAAAAGTATAAAATATATAAAAAGTATAAAAAGTAATAAAAGTATAAAAAGTATAAAAGATACAAAAGATATAAAAAATATAAAAAAAAATTGTTTTTTTCTTTTTAAGAGAGGTCTTTCTTCTATTCCTTTATTTCAAAATATATAATTTGGGTACAACTAGTACTAATTTATATATTTAATGAAGGAGAGTAGAAGTTAGGGCTTGGATTTACCCTCAATCTATTCTTAGTTAGAATGGCTGAAAAAATCTCTAGACTACATAATTTGAAAGGAGAAATACTGAATTATAATGAATAAAAGCATTGAGCTATAAGTGAAATTTTCTATCTAGTAAACAAAGAGGAGTATTGTTTTTTAAAGATGTAATTATAACTAGTGGGTTTGGAGTATTATTTTGTATTTATATTCAGCTTGGTTTCCATATTTCTTCATATATATTTTTAATGATTGTGTGATAGATTTATGGAATTAATGTAGTACTTTGGGAGAGTAGTTCTAATTTTTGTACTATTTTTAAGTCGATAAAACCAAGTAAGATTCATTTTTGGATATGAATCATCACAAAATCTTGAATGAAATCTCCAAGTGGTGGTATATTTATGCTATTTGTTTGGCATATATTAATTATTGTTTTGGAAATGATATCTTGGATATTTGTCTGATTATATTAGCAAGTAAGCATGTGTGAGGTGTCTTTTGGTATTTTTGTGTATTTTGTGCAGAAGGAGTTAGAATGTGTAGTCGGGTCTCTTTAATTAAGATATAGATGGGTTGGTAATTCAGAAGTTAGTAATTTTATTTTAAATATTTTTAGGGTTGATTTAGTTGAGCAAGTATTGCAGCTAAGTAGATTGTTTTGATAGTTGAGGTAGTCAAATGTGAGTTTTCAGTGAATGTTTGAAAGTTGTTGTATTATTGCTTTGATTCGATTTTGTTCATTTTATTTGATAATTGCTTTGGCTCTTTGGATTATTTTGGGTAGCTGGTGGATTGAGTATATTGCAGGAGTTCCATTGATATATGGAATGAAGTTTGAACTTATTACTGTTTGAGGTATAAGGTTAGTATGTAAATGAAGGTTAGCTGTTAGTATTTTGATTTTGTTGTCTGTTAGGTTGATATTTATATTATAGTTTTTTTCTAAAATGATTGCTCTTATCATAGATATAATATTGTTAAAGAGTATTTTTCGAAGATGTTATTAGTGATATAAAGGAAGACTTAGTATAGATTGTATTTTGGATTGAAGCTAGCTTTTGTTAGTAGTAATAGTTATTTGTATTTGAGAGAGGAGAATAGTTTAGATTACTGTTAATGCTGTGAAAGTTGTATAGATATGAGAAGGGAAAGATATGTTTGTTATATACCAGACTTGTTGGTTGTATTAGAGCTGCATTTGTGCAAAAGGGGTTTTTGTTTTGTCTGTGTTTTTTACTTTTTTTGATTTAACGGTAATGTATAGTTGTAAGTGTTTTAAGTAAGTAGATTCAGTATATAGTTTCCATATCTGTGTCTGTATGTTTTCAAATAGTTATAAAAAGCAATAAGTTGTACAATAATTTAAAGTTGGCAAAGCAGGACGAGTATTGTATTGTTTGGGTAGTGGTATAAGAGGTCTGAGTAAGTAGCTCAGTTGTTCATGGATTTGTCTTCTGCAGTCAACTTGAATTTTGTAAATAGATTGTGTTGACATTTTAAAATAGCAGTATTTAGTTTTAAGTAAGTAATCCTTCTCTTGATAGCTGAGGCATGGAATAAGTTGCTTTGGATTAAGTGGGTGAGAAGTGTAGTGTTTAATTTTTGCTAGATTGTTTGTTGAACTTGTGATTTTGCTAAACTTTTTTCCACAAGTAATAATCCATTTGCCAGTAGATAAGTTAATTAGTACAAATATAAAGAGATTTGGAAAGTTTAATGTGGTTAAGAGGTTTGTAGACTGAACTATTATATCTGTAACATTCTTAAACCAGCAAGAAATTTTTTCTCTAGAAATTTTTTGGATATTGTGATGAAAAGAGTGCTAGTCTAGCATATAGGTGTTTGTATAATCTAGAAATTGCTCGATACAGGTAATATTATATGTATTTAGCTTGCTTTTTATAGCTGCAAGATGTTTGATTGAGAATAGGATTAAGTTGATTGAGATACCTTAAACTGTTTAGAAATTGCCATAGATTAGTTTGATAAAACAATTAAATATTAAGCTTGTAAAGTGTTATTATTGATTAAGCAGTGTTAGTTTTGTATTCTTTTGCTAGAAAGATCAGTTTTTCTGCAAGAATAGATAGGTTGGAATTAGCAGCATTCTGGAGTTGTTGTAGTCAAATTTTGATACTTGAATTGTCGAAATCTGGTGCATGAATACTGTAATCCAAAGTTCTGATTTGTTGTTGTTGTTAGATATTATAAAGTGTATTTAATACATAAATCATAGAATGGTGTAAAGTAAAATTGGGTGTTGATCAGGATAATCATGTCTTGTGTTTGACTATGTTTGTATAGAATCTTGTGATTTTGGAACATGCAGATTTTGTTAGGTGTGTGCTTTGTATTTGGTATGCTACATGTGTTAGGATTACATTGTTAATGATGTAAATTGCTTGTTTGTTAGTAATTTTTGCATATTGATTTTTTTTTAAGTTTGAGATGATTTCATTCATAATGAAACTTTTTGCTACTTTTAGAAAGAGGTCTCATGTAAGCCAAACACCTAGGTGGTAAAAAATATCTTTGGGTCTAAGGGTAGAGTGAACAATTTCTATTTTTAGTAGTAATCACTTGACAAATATAGTAAAAATTGATTTTCATATGTTTTTACTATTTAATTTGCCTAGATAGTACAATATAAATAACATATGATCATCACCTAATTTCAATTGAATGTTATTGTAAAAAAATTTAGCAACATAATTGCTATTAGAAATGTAGATCCTTCACCCTATCCTTAATGTTTGTAATTTGTTGTCCTTAGAAGATAATAGAGGCTTGTGGGTCTGAGTTGTTAGAAATTAAAGTCGATTTATATGGGTTAATCTTGATACTTGCAAATAAGAAAAAGGAGTCAACTATTTTTAATATATCTTGTAATTCATTTTTGTTTTTAGCGATCCAGACTGTATCATCTATGTGTGCTACTATAAAGGCATATGTTGCTATTGTGTTGTCAGGGGTGTTTGTATCTAGCAAGTAACCTTAGAAAGTTATTTTGATTCAGCTGATTAGGGGTCATAGTAGATTCTTCAAAGTA